CCTTAGTGTGAACTGAACCCGGGTCTCTCCGGACAGCAGGCCGAAGCTCTAACCACTGAGCCAAACCGGAACCGGCCAGGGCATAATTTATTTTTTATTTAGGTATGGTTGACATACATAAACATTTTACATTGTAGTATTTCATGTTCATGCAGTATGTCCCATGTACAAATATAATTCTCAAGCTTTGGGCCCAATTTTTTTTTTTTTTTTTTGAGAGACTTGAATGTTGCTTTTGATTTCAAATGAGTATATCTATCTATCTATAAAATTGAATTTATTGGGGTAACATTGGTTAATAAAATTATATAGGTTTCAGGTATACAGTTCTATAATCATATATTGTATTGTGTGTTCACCACCTCAAGTCAAGTCTCCTTCCATCAACATGTATCCCCCCATTTATCTGCCTCTACCTCTCCCCTTACCCCCTTTCTCTCTGTTAATCACTATCCTGTTGTTTGTGTCTATGAGTATCCCTCTACCTCTGCTTAATTTGGTCGACTTTTTCACCCAGCCCCCAAACCCTTCTCCTGTGATAGCTGTCAGTCTGTTCTTTCTATTTATAAGTCTGTTTCTAATTTGTTTGTTAGTTTTTTTAGATTGTTCATTAGATTCCACATATAAGTGAAATCATGTATTTTTCTGACTGGCTTAGTATAATACTCTCCAGGTCCATCCATGCTGTCACAAAGGGTAAGATTTCCTTCTTTCTTATGGCCGAGTAGTAGCCCATTGTGTAAATGTACCATAGCTGTTTTATCCACTCATCTGCTGATAGGCACTTGGGCTGCTTCTAAATCTTGGCTATTGTAAATAACACTGCAGTGAACATAGGGGTGCATATATTCTTTCCGAGTAGTATTTTGGGTTTCTTTGGATATATTTTATGGTGTGGAGTCACAGGGTCATAAGGCAGTTTCATTTTTAGAGTTAACTCTGTACTGCTTCCCCCATTGGTTGCACCAGTCTGCATTTCCACCAGCAGTGCACGAGGGTTCCCTGTTCTCCACATCCTCACCACCACAGTTGTTTGTTGATTTATTTATTTTTTAATCCTCACCTGAGGATATTTTCTCATTTATCTTCGGTGAGAGGGAGGGAGGGGGAAAGAGAGACAGACAGACAGACACATCAGTGTGAAAGAGACACATCGACTGGTTGCCTCCCGCTTGACCTCCACCAGGGCCAGGGACTGAAAAGCAACCGAGGTACGTGCCCTTGACTGGAATTGAACTCGCTGTTCTTTGGTCTGCGGGCTAATGCTCTACCCGTTGAGCCAGACTGGCCAGGGCTGTTTGTTGATTTATTGATGATAGCTATTCTCATGGGTGTGAGGTTATATTTTATTGTGGTTTTAATTTTCATCTGATTAGTGACACTGGGCATCAATATGGCTGTTGGTCATCTGTATGTCCTCTTTGGAGGAGTGTTTATTCAGATCCTTTGTCCCCTTTTTAATTGGATTGTTTGTTTGTTTTTGGTGTTGAGTTGAATACATTTTTAAGTAGATTTTGGATATTAACCTCTTAGAGCTGATTTTTTTAAAGAAGCTCTTTAGTCATTTAATTTGGGGTTTTGCTGCCCTTTGACAGTAGGACTCTAGTCCTGCCATATAGCTTAACATTTTCTTCTGAACAAAGACAGTAGGTATTTCACCTGGTAGCTTTTGGGATTATTGCTCAGGTGTAAGAAATCAAGGTATTAAGATTTCTTTAATGTGGCTTATTTGAAAAAGGGCCAGTAAGCCTTTTGAAGGGCTATGGAAGCACCTTGCTTTCTTTTTTGGGGTTGGAGGGAGAGTTGTCAATAACAATTAGAATAAGGTCATCATTGAGGTGGATTTCACTTAGCTCTGGATGAGTTCTCATTGCTCCCACCCAGTGATGGTGCTAGCTCACCTGGCGAAGGATGGAATTGGGAGATTAAATTAGGCTTGCACTCCTTATCTGTAACAATAATAATAAACTACTAATAGTAGTATATACTTATGTAGTCTTTACCACTGTCAGATACTGTTATAAAGGCTTTACATATATTAACTAATTTAATCCTTGCACACATAGGTGCCTCTGTTTTTTGTTTTACATTTATCTTCAGACAAAGTGGGAGGGGGAGAGAGAGACACATCGATTGGTTGCCACCCGCACAACCCGAACCAGGGCTGGGGACAAACTGCAACCTAGATATGTGCCCTTGGCTGGAATTGAACCCAGGTCTCTTTGGTCCACGGGCAGACACTCTAACCGCTGAGCCAAATCGGCCAGGGTGGTGCCTCTTTCTATTTCCATTTTCTAGTGAGGGAACCGAGGCACAGAAAGTGCTAGGTCAGGTCTTCTAGTTTACCTCTCCCACATTCTCTTTTGACTCCTTTGCTTAACGCTTCTGTTGTAGCTGGTTTTCCCATGAACAGATCTTCCCATATCCTGCAGGCCTCCAATTCTGAACACCCTCTCCTCACCAGTAACAATAGCTTCTTTTTAGGTAATGTTTAACATGGCAAGGCGTCATGCTGATGCTTTTACAAATATCTCAGTTAATGGTCACAGCCATATTTGAGGTAGGTGAGACAAGGGCCAGTTAGGAAAGACGAGGCTCGGGGAGGTGACCACACTCCCTGGGTGGCAGAACCAGGACAGTACTTGAAAGCCCATACTTGTCCCCTGCATGCAGGCTGCCTGTGGCTCTTCAGGAATCCTTTTCCCTCTTTGATTCCCTTTATGACCTCTCGTCCCACCTCCCTGTCTCAGCCACTCATGTATCATTTATGATAGGCAGTTGAGCAGTCTTACTTTTCCAGTGTGTATGTATCCTGCCTCCTGATGTGGCCTGGGAGCTCATCCAGGGAGCGACTATCTCTTTGGGGCTCACAGTCCCAGTGCCTGGCTCTCATGGGCACCTTGCTTCTGTTCCTTGTTACTGACTTGTGGTGACGACAGACTGCTCTGCTATCTCAGCACTTCTGCCCATTTGAGGTGGGCTGCTTCCTGGGCCAATCCAGGCACCCTCTTCATTTCAGAGAATAGCACTTGCTATGCTGACGTCTTTTTTGGGGAATAAATAAATCAATGCAAAGTTGAATGTGGCATGAATCATTTATAAAGGAGCTTACTCTTTCTACTAGTTGAATGCTAGCTAATGAAGACTCTAAAATGAAGAGTCCTTTTGTAATTTAATATTATCCTTCTGTTTATTGCTTTAGGGGTTAAATCTGGATCCATGTTGGTTTGGCTTTGCTCATTGTGGGGGTTCTGAACTTAAGGGCTGACGTTAACCAGCATATTTATATGTGTAACCAAAGCCATAGCTTTAGTGTGTTGGGCAGGATTGTTTCACCTGTTTCAAAATGTTCACAAGAGTGTATTTTAAATTTTAGACATATCAATGACTTTTTGAAATGTGCTTTTTTATGCACCTAAAGCCCTCAGTTTAAGTCTTTTTAAAAAAATCCTCACCCGAGGACATTTTTCGATATTTTGTTCAGATAGAGTGGGAGGGGGAGAGAGAGAGAGAGAGAGAGAGAAACATCAACATGAAAGGGACACATCAAGTGGTTACCACCCACATGACCCAACCAGGGCCGGGGACAAACTACAACCCAGATACGTGCCTTTAGCAGGAACCGAACGTGGGTCTCTCTGGACCGCAGGCCGATGCTCTAACCCCTGAGCAAAACTGGCCAAGGCCCTCTGTCTAAGTCTTTAAGTTTGTATTACTTAAAAAGAAGTTTGGGTGTGGGAGTACTGCTGTTGCTGGATTTTTACAAACACGCATTTTTGCTAGGAAAAGGAAGGATTGGATACCTATGGAGGGTCTGGCTTTGGGATGGGCAGACAGGAAGTCACATGGTCAGACCTCCTGAGACCCCACCTCCTAGCATCATGCTGTTATTGTGAGGATTTGAGAGAAAACCAGATTTTATCCAGGGAAGAGTAGAACCACATTTGCATTCAGGCCCCGGAAACCCAGGATGCTCCGCGCACCTTCCATTCAGTTCAGCCTGTGTCACGTGCCCTGTGTTTCTCTGAAGTGAATGTAATTTTAATTCAGCCAGACACATGTTTTAAGGATTTAAGGGAATTGTGTATGTAAAAAAAAAGAATGCTTTGAGAAGTACAAAATATTCTATCTATGTCAAAAAATAAGTATCCAGTAATTATTGGGGTAGAACCCTAAACAACTGCAACTGCTTTCTCAAACCATAGTCTAAACATGATTTTAATTATTTTAGTTTGATTCCACTAAATTATATCATACAAATTATGTTTTCTATATGGCCTTTCTCATTTGGGTGGGAGGAATGAATGAAACAATACAAAGGTAACCTTTTACTCTGAGAAATAATTGCCACAATCAGGACAGATATAGGATGTTAGTATTTTCTTTGTAATGTGGTCTGCTTCAAACATAGCCCATTCTTCTTGGAGAGTTGAAGTAAATGAGGTAGATATTAAAACCTGTAAATGCATGGGTTAATTTTCCATTAAGTCAGTGCTCAAAAATTTCATTTATCAGGCCTTGCTGAACTGTGTAGCTTTCTCTTTTAGACTTTGACATAACTGCTAAGCCTTGGCAGCTCTGCTGCGTGTGTGTGTGTGTGTGTGTGTGTGTGTACAATGCTCTGCATTTTCTCTTGAAATGATTAGATTGTGTGAGTATCATTAGGGGCTGTTTACCTATGTGGTGTGGCTTGTTTCACTGTCAGAGATCTTAGGGTTTGGCACTTTTTACAAATAGGTTTCCTCCAGTTCCTTTTCTACTTTCGTGCAGCTGCACATGGTGCTGTGTGGTTACTGCCATGAGTTCTCAGATAACAGGAGAATGCGAGAGCTCAGATCTCAGGAGTTAGGTCAGTGGCGCTGTGCAGCTCAGTGAAGGGCCTTCCCGCTGCACCGCCCACCGCACTTGTCTCCCTGTGTTTACCTGACAGATGGCACCTGACAGATTCATCAATAACTCTCTCCCCTCTCTTTCTCCTCTCTGTCCCCATCTTCTGCCAGGCGGGTGCCCCGGTGATGTCTGGCACGGGAGAAAGCACGAACCCCGAGAACAGCGAGCTCAAGTACTCAGGTCAAGATGGGCTGTACATAGGCGTCAGCCTGGCCTCGCCGGCCGAAGTCACATCCTCCTCGGTGAGACAGGATTCCTGGTGCGCGCTGGCCCTGGCCTGAGCCCGCCGCCGGAGCCGGGCCCGCGGGACCTGCGGTGCTTATGCCACACTGTGCAAACCGGGGCGAGTATGCTGACAGAACATTCCTCTGATGCGTGATTTCCGTGCCTTTATTTCCCAAGAGGCTTGCTCTGCCTTACCAGCCAGCCCGACAGTGAAGAGCCAGGGGGAAGACGAGCGCTTCCTGGGAAGGCCAGTGCAGCCTGGGAGGCCCCTCCGCCCTGGCCGCGGCCCCTCCAGCCAGCCTGCCTCTGGGTCTGCCAGGGCATCCGCGGTGCCACTTCCAGAAACCTGGACTAGGACGGGGCCTTGCCTGCTAAGGAATACTGAGATTTAAAAAAAAAAAAAAAAGGTTTTATGTGCATTGCCCCAAATCATGTGCTTCTTCTGATCGGTTTTGGTTATTCCAGAATTTCTTAATACCTTTCCACACCCAGATTTCACATGTGTTCATGGAGAAGACCGTTTTGGTACACACTTCTGGGGGCTGAGTCGGTTCATGAGGTCACTTGTCAAAAATATTACTCAGTTTGCAGGACTGCATTATAACTGTAACTACACTGTGACTGACGTTTCTCAAAGTTCATGTTGTGTGGCTGATCTAAGTCAGTCGGAATTTGTAAACAGGGTAGCAAACAAGATATTTTTCTTCCATGTATACAATAATTTTTTTAAAAAGTGCAATTTGCGTTGCAGCAATCAGTGTTAAATCATTTGCATAAGATTTAACAACATTTTTTTTTATAATGAATGTAAACATTTTAACTTAATGGTACTTAAATAATTTAAAAGAAAAATGTTAACTTAGACATTCTTATGCTTCTTTTACAACTACATCCCATTTCTATATTTCCAACTGTAAAGAAAAAAATATTTCAAGAACAAATCTTCTCTCAGGAAAATTGCCTTTATTCATTTGTTAAGAATTCTTATACAAGAACACCAATATCCCCCCTTTATTTTACTGTGGAATATGTGCTGGAAAAATTGCAACAAAACTTTACTACCTAACAGACAACATTTGTAAATACTCTAGGTATCTGTACACAATAAGATGAAGTCTCTGTAGTGTGACTAACCCATAGGCAGGTTGGTTGACATTAATTTTTAAAAATGGGATGTCATATGGAAACCTATTTCACCAGAGTTTTAAAAATAAAAAGGGTATTGTTTTGTCTTCTGTACAGTGAATTCCTTCCCTTTTAGTTTCATTTTGATAACTGTAGGTGGCTATAGATCTTCATATAAAACAAGCGTATGTGATGTTTGCAAATTGCCTTATGGCCTTCCTTTCGGGGCATCGTCCTTTTGGAGCTGTTTAATAACTCGGTTTCTTTGAAGTTGGCACATGGAGTTAGTTGTCACTTTCAATTTGCATTGGGGACACTTTTTATAAGCGGAAGGGATCCAGTATTGTCACATTATCTGAGATTATAAGCATTCTCTTTAGGATTGATCCTTAAAAACATTGAAAAAGTCCAGAGTTTCTTGCCCTCTGAAGTAAATATACTTTATAGTCTGGAGATGATCTCCTTTCTGGAACCTCCCTTTTGCAAATTGCCACTAAGTCTCAAAGTCCTTATACACACCAGAAGACATGAAATGGTCTGAACAGCCGCTGCTTTATCTTCACTGTTGGGTGGATCTCAGGAAGTCAAGAAGCTGATCCACAACACAAAATGGTATAATTTCATTTGGCTCTGAAGTGGGGCATTTTTTTACTTCTTTTTGTGTACTGATTACAGCCATTCTATGGGATCCAGTCTGATTCTTTTAGTGTTGGAAGTCAGACTCAGGGCTGGGGTACATGTGTGTCTGGGGAAGTCACTGCACCCTAAAACCATATGGTGGGCTGGAACAATGGTTAAGAATGCTGGGTATGGAGTCAGAGCACTAGGCTTCAAATCCTGTTCTCCACACAAGCTCTGTGACCTTGGGCAAGTTATCCAACTCATTTTCCTCTGTAAAATGATGCCAGTAACATACAACTCAAAGGAGAGAGTCCAGATAAAAGGCCTAGCATAGGGCCTGGCACATAGTAAGCATCGAGTGTGAACTTGACTTTGAAGGAGGGTGGCAGGCCCTGGCCAGTTTGGCTCAGCGGTCAGAGCGTCAGCCCATGGACCAGAGAGTCCCAGGTTTGGTTCCTGCTAAGGGCACATACCTCGGTTGTGGTTCGTCTCAGGGGGTCATGTGGGTGGCAACCAGTCGATGTGTCTATCTCACATCTACGTTTCTCTCTCTCTCCCTTCCTCTCTCCTTCCCACTCTATCTGAAGATAAATGCAAAAAAAGGTAATCAGATGAGGATAGGAAAAAAAGAGGGTGGCAGGAATTTTTATCATATAGGTGTTTGGGATGTCTTTGTCCCTGTGCAGAATCAGAAGTTTATGTCTGATGTCCCTTGGCTCACCTGCACGTCAACAATGCTGGGGAGAGGAATATGAGGGATCCCACCCCAGCCCAGGGGTGGCAGAAATGGATGGGGAAGATGCTTGAGAGATACCAGTGTGAGTTCAGTTCATGGTTTAATAGAACAGGGCTGATCTGACAGCAAAAGAAAGTTATTATCCCCTCATTAATTTCTCCCTCCTTCCTCACGGTTTTCATTACCTTGAGTACTTCTGGTGGGTTGGCAGTTGTTAGAGTAAATATGCTTTGATTGGAAAGTGAATTTTTCTTATTGGGGCTTCCAAATGATTTTTTCCCCGTGGGGGTGGTCTCAAATGTTGCTACAAATCCTAAAGTGCCATTAGGTAGTTAAAGCTCCCTTTCTTTAGAGCACAAAGGGGAAAGAGTTCCAGCTTTCATGAAATACAGGACAAGGGGCAGAAGCCTGTCCCAGCACAGTGAACTCCACTGATCTGGGCTTTTTCAATGGTAACTTTCTTACCTATGATTCTATATAGTGGAAGTTCGCTAATTTCTTCTGGACATACAATCTTGCCATCCCTTCCCCAGACTATGATGTACAAAAACAAGTCATTTTTGCCCTGGCCTGTGTGGTTGGTTGGAGCATTTTCCTGTGTACTGAAGGTCTTGGGTTTGATTCCCTACCAGGGCACATGCCTAGGTTGTAGGTTCTATCCATGGTCGGTGTGGGAGGCAACTGATCTCTCACATCGATGTTTCTCTCTCTCCCTTCAAATGAAAACATATCCTCGGGTGAGGATTTAAAAAAAACACAAAAACGTCGTTTCTCAGTAAAGGGAGCGTTTGCGTAGGCACACCTCAGCTGAGAGTGCTCAGACCCATTACCGTGGGTTGCAGATTTATGTCCTCGGTCACTCTCGGCTGGTTTTAGGCCATCTTACATAACCGAAGGCTCTGTCTGTCTGGGGTTTCTCTCCAGGGTCACTTTGTGTTGTTTCCTGATGCCTATGGGAGGGTCAGGAAAGCAAAGGGAGCCATTCATTTCCCCCAGCAAATAAATTAGCTTCTTGCTCATGGGAAATGTTTTCCCCAGTCTTTGGAAAATTGATGTAATTTCAGATTATAGATAGGTTAGCTGCTGGAAGGGCAATACAGCAGGTCTTCGGTGACTATGCCAGATTCCAGGCTGCTTTCATTCTGGGGCAGTGAGGTGGCTTCAGTGTGTTCAGTGTTCTCTATGCCCCAGCACTGTCCACGGGGTCTTCAGATCCTTGTGGCTCTGAGGAGGAAATACTAGGTGTGTGTGGGGGGCGGGTGGGGAGAAGCAGGGACCAAATATTCATTCAGAATAAGACAGCTTTAGCTAACGAAAATGCGTTTTGTTTCTGGATCTATGGGTAAAAATTCTGTACAGCTCTCGCCACTTGAGGTCTCGGGGTGGATTCTGTGTGGCTGAACAATTAGCTGCAGCTAAAGCAGGCCCGTCTGCTGTGGGTTTTGGAGACAAGTTTCAGGGACAAGGTGCTAGCCCTCTGTAGGATCTGCAGAGGAGAGGGGTCATATGGTGTCGTCAGGTGGTTCAACTATAACATATTAGTAGGCTGAAGGCCTAAGTAAGTTTATAGGAACTTTGGGTAAATCAATTCTGGTTGATAGTTCCAAATAAGTTCTAAAGGAGAGTTAGTATGTTGTAGGTTTATGTCAAGCCTCCGAAACTTATGGCAGAATGAGCGATCAAGCTCCCAAGTCCGCTAGGGCATGTCCCAAAGCTGTACTGGAGAACGCGCAGGACCGCTGGTACCCACTGCTCAGCAGCTGTCACAGGGACGTGACCATTCCACAGCAGGTATCACTAAGAGATACTTATTTTCTTTGTGACTTAAAAAAAAAAAAAAAAGGACATTTTAAAAATGGCTAAAATATAGCAATTAAAGATGAAATGTTTAATTACTAGAGGGGCTTATATTTTAGTCATAAGTGGTCCCCTGTGGTAAGAGATTTATCTAGATATCCCTTAGCTTTTTTTTTCTTTAATGTTGTTTTTATTACTTTTTTTTTTTTTTTTAGAGAGGAAGGCAGAGAGAGAGAGAAACTTCGATGAAGGAGAGAACATCAATCTGCTGCCTCTTGCACACCCCCTACTGGGGATGGAGCACGAAACCCGGGCATGTGCCCTGACTGGGAATTGATCTGGGACCTCTCAGTCCATGGGACAGTGATCCATCCACTGCCACACCTGCTGGGCTCCCTTAGCTTTTGAGCAAGTCATTTCCTCTCCCTGGACCTCAGTCTCTGCAGCAAGCATACAATGGAGAAATCAGGCGGTGTAGTGTAAAGGTCCCTTCCACCTGTGTGCAGATTATAGGCAATGAGGCGATCATGGGTCTGTGGTCTGGTCTGAGTCCCCCGAGTCTGAGGGGCCTCCACAGGCCCCTCCATGACTACGGAAGCTGGTGGGATTAAAATCTCCTAGCTTTCTCCTGGTTCCCTCACCTCCTCAGGTTTTGATTTACGGATGCTAAGTCCTTCTGGCCACAGAGGGTGAGAGTCCTGGTCATATTTATAAACATGGGGACTTGGTAAGAGGTACTGCCACCCCCTAACCCCAAACCCTGATAGAAAACTTATA